ATGGCGGAAGCGGCGGACGCGGCCACAGCCGCCCAGGCGCAGAGACACGCAGACCTCCATTAAGCCCTAGGTTTAGGGTTTAGGGTTTAGGGTTTAGGGTTTAGAGTTTAGGGTTTAGGATTTAAGCCCCTAAACCTTCAATGCACAACCCTGAGCCCTGTGTTTAAATTATGTTAAGTCCCACAGTCCCTCAGCCTGAAGACGTTAACGAGGTTAAATGTTGTGTTGAGCTGGGCGGTTGGGTATAGACCCCAAAACTCCACGTGCAACCCCAAAGGTTACGAATTCAGAGCTTCAAAGGACACGCAGGTTCGGGGGGTTTAGAGTTTAGGGCGGGGCACGCCGAACCTCCTCCCCTCAGTGTGTGCTGGAGCGGGGGAGCGAGTGTGAGAGAGAGAGAGAGAGAGAACGAGAACAAGAGAGAAAGAGAGAAAGGGAGAAAGAGAGAAAGAGAGGAAGAGAGAAAAAGAGAAAGAGAGAAACAGAGAACGAGAGAAAGAGAGAAAGAGAGAAAGAGAGAAAGAGAGAAAGAGAGAAAGAGAGAAAGAGAGAAAGAGAGAAAGGGAGAAAGAGAGAAAGAGAGAAAGAGAGAAAGAGAGAAAGAGAGAAAGAGAGAAAGAGAGAAAGAGAGAAAGAGAGCAAGAGAGAAAGAGAGAAAGAGAGAAAGAGAGAAAGAGAGAAAGAGAGAAAGAGAGAAAGAGAGAAAGAGAGAAAGAGAGAAAGAGAGAAAGAGAGAAGGAGAGAAAGAGAGAAAGAGAGAAAGAGAGAAAGAGAGAAAGAGAGAAAGAGAGAAAGAGAGAAAGAGAGAAAGAGAAAACGAGAGCAAGAGAGCAAGAGAGCAAGAGAGAAAGAGAGAGAGAGAGAGAGAGAGAGAAAGAAAGAGAGAAAGAAAGAGAAAAAGAGAAAGAGAGAAAGAGAGAAAGAGAGAAAGAGAGAAAGAGAGAAGAGAGAAGAGAGAAAGAGAGAAAGAGAGAAAGAGAGAAAGAGAGAAAGAGAGAAAGAGAGGAAGAGAGAAGAGAGAAAGAGAGAAAGAGAGAAAGAGAGAAAGAGAGAAAGAGAGAAAGAGAGAAAGAGAGAAAGAGAGAAAGAGAGAAAAGAGAGAAAAGAGAGAAAAGAGAGAAAGAGAGAAAGAGAGAAAGAGAGAAAGAGAGAAAGAGAGAAAGAGAGAAAGAGAGAAAGAGAGAAAGAGAGAAAGAGAGAAAGAGAGGGAGAGAAAGAGAGAAAGAGAGAAAGAGAGAAAGAGAGAAAGAGAGAAAGAGAGAAAGAGAGAAAGAGAGAAAGAGAGAAAGAGAGAAAGAGAGAAAGAGAGAAAGAGAGAAAGAGAGAAAGAGCGATTGGAGAGAGGGAGAGAGAGACAGGGATAGAGAAAATCGAAGAAGAAAGGGAGAGATATGGCCCTCAGCCCCAAAACCATATACACTCAAGCCACCCTAAACCCTAAACCCAAGACCCTAAACCCTAAATCCCAAGACCCTAAACCCTAAACCCTAAACTCTAAATCCCAAGACCCTAGACCCTAGACCCTAAACCCTAATCCCTAAACCCCAAACCCTAAACCCTAAGCCCTAAACCCTAAACCCTAAACCACAAGGGGGCGCAGCCGGCCGCAGAGGATGCGAAGCGTCAGAAAACCGAGGTGCCGGTCTTTGGTTCATGTATCCCAAGGGTAGGGTGGGGTGGGGTTTAGGGTTTAGGGTTTAGGGTTTAGGGTTTAGGGTTTAGGGTTCAGGGTTCAGGGTTCAGGGTTCAGGGTTTAGTGTTTAGGGTTTAGGGTTTACGGTTTAGGGTTTGGGGGTTTAGGGTTTAGGGTTTGGGGTTCAGGGTTCGCGGTTGAGGGATTTTTAGGGAGTTTAGGGTTTGGGGTTTAAAGTTTAGGGTTCAGGGTTTGGGGTTTGGAGTTTTGGTGCTTTGGGTAGGGTTGAGGTTTGAGGGTTGAGGGATTTAGGGCTTAAGCCTTTAGGGTTAAGTTACGGTTTATGGGGTTCACAGGGTTGTTTATGGGGTTCCGGGTTCAGGATGGGTGCACTTATCTAGGGCGCCCGAGCAGAGTTTGGTGTATAGAAGCCCCACGACAAAGTTAGGGTTTAGGGTTTAGGTCTAAGGTTTCATAAGTCATTCCCATGGAGTAGCCCTGTAGCAAAGTTCTAAAAACTCACCGGGCCACATAGTCCACTGAACCCCAAAGAACCTTGAACTAGCATTTGCCTAAGAACCTCCCAATAAAAACGCGAGATAAGAATCCCTAGATTACCCTCATGAGGCAGAGTTTTTTCATTTTTTGGAGAGTTCTTAAGCACATTGCAGTGATCCGGTGAGCCGTACTGCGGACAGATCCACGGGCGGAGGGTCTGAGTCGAAGGTTCAGCTCAGGTTTACATCATGTTGCGGCACCCTAAGACCTATAATCCCCGAAACCCCAGAACCCCAAAACCCCAAAACCCCTAAGCCCTAAACCCCTAGACCCCTAGACCCCTAGACCCCTAGACCCCTAGACCCCTAGACCCCTAGACCCCTAGACCCCTAGACCCCTAGACCCCTAGACCCCTAGACCCCTAGACCCCTAGACCCCTAGACCCCTAGAACCCTAGACCCTAAACCCCAAAAACCCTAAACCCCTAAATTCCTTAACCCCTGAACCCCTAAGCCCCGAACCCCAACAGGAGGGCTTCGTCCCACGACCGCCGGGTGCAGTGCCTCCACCACCAGGGCAGACTGCCAGGGCCCGAGGGTTTAGCGTTTAGGGTTGAGGGTTTAGGTGAAGGGGTTCAGGGTGTTTTTTTTTTTGGGGGGGGGGGGTGTTTTGGGAGGTCTAGGAAAGACGTCTACATCCCCTAAGTGCAGTCACCTGTGGGAGCGGTGACTGAGGCTGAGGTTGCAGCTGTAAGGTTGAGGGGGAGGGCTTTAAGTACCCCGGATTTCCCCAGCAGGCCTGGGGAGTCGGGGGGTTTAGGGTTTAGGGTGTAGGGTTTAGGGTGAGACTCTACTCTCGGACCCAGAGCAGGCCCTTCGTCCCTCTTCTTTGGGGCTCATATTCCCTGGTATGCCCCCTTTTAACCCGAAAGGGGCCTCTCTCGAAACTGCCTGTAGTGTGTGGGGATCGCCCAAACATGTAAAGTCCAAGTCCAAAAACCGCTGAATGCCTGAAACCCTGAAGTGGGCTGTTCTGGGCTCCGGGTTGTTTGTCCCATAGGCGGCCTTACCCGCCCTAAACCCTAACCCCTAACCCCTAACCCCTAACCCCTAAACCCTAAGCCCTAAACCCGAAGCCCTAAGCCCTAAGCCCTAAGCCCTAAACCCAAAACCCTAAATCCTAAAGCCAAGTTGAGACAAGCCCGGAAGCCCTCGATCGAGCCCAACTTGCGTTTTAGGGTTTGGGGTTTAGCGTTTGGGGTTTAGGGTTTGGGGTTTAGGGTTAGGGTTTGGTGTTAAGGGTTTGGGGTTTACGGCTTTGGCCCTAAACCGCAGAGCTCAATCCTTAAATCCTGAGCCCCGAACCTTAAACACTAAACCCTAAGTCCTAAATGGCCCAAAACTCTGAGCCTTGAACCATAAACCCTAAACCCTAAATCCTAAACCCGAAACCCTAAACCCCAAAGCCTAAACCCTAAACCATAAACCCGACTCCGATTGTTTCCAAGGAGGCCAAGGAGGCAGAGACGAAGCCCGAGGTCGGGTGGCCCATTCAGCTTTAGGGTTTAGGGTTTGGGGTTTAGGGTTTAGGGTAGAGGCGCTCTGGGGTTTAGGGTTTGGGGTTTAGGGTCTAGGGTTTAGGGCTTAGGTTTTTTCGGTCCTGTAGTAGGCAGGGTAGATCCTAAGTAGTCTTCAATCCTTAGGTGAACTTCTTGGCGGATTTTAACATTATGGGTTACAGCGAATTGCGATTTAGGACTGCATGACTCGCCAGGTATCCGGTAGTAGTATTCTAAACGCACGAAAACAGCTAACCGCAGCGGATCGCGAGTTCAGGCCACGTCACGACGTTTCGTGGGCGTTAATATCGTTTTTGAGAGATGGCAGCAAACGGGCAGGCAAATCTGCGCTGAACCCGGCTTCCAAAATCCCTACCAACTTGGCCCAGCGTCTTCTCGGGCGGTTTGTACTTTAGCCGATTTGCTTGCCTCTTTGCTGGGAAAGGCACGAAAATCATGAATCGCCAGGCTTCCAAGGTGGTTAGTAGCTTCTCTGCTGGGAAAGCCCCAAGAGATCGCTCCTAACGCGGGCCGGGGGTTCTCGGGTGGTTAGTAGCCGAATTGCTTGCCTTTCCTTCTGTGATGGCACAAACTTCTGGCCCACTTTGGCGGAGCCGTTGCAGAAGGGCACGAAACCAGGCCAGGGTCACAACGTGGGTCCGAAGCCCAGGACGCAGAGAAGCCCCGTGCAGGTCGGCTGGCGCGTCCTGGAGCTGTCCCGCCTCCTGATGCTCCGGAACCACTACCTGGGCATCAAGAAACTGTTTCCGCGCGCGAGGCCGCTGTTCGCCGACACCGACAGCTCCACCTATGAGATCCCCTCCGCCGAAGATCCGCACTTCTGGCGATGGCCCCCGACAGCAGTACACCTTGATGCGGATCAAAAGGAAAGCCCCAAGCCATGAACAGTGCCTGGCGGATCAGAAACAGTTTGGGAACGTGTGGAGTCAGGAGAATCGCTCATGGGCCTGGCATGCATCCTACACTCCCCGTGGTCCTAGAAGTCCCGATAAGCACAGACAAAAACGACAAACCCTTCGAAGCCGGTGAGCCCTAAAAACCCCATTAACCCGATAAACAACCCCTGGAACCCGATACAAAAACCCGTAAAAACCCATAAAGTCTCCTTAAGCCCTATGAGCCCTCGAAGCTTTCAGAAGCCCCAGCAAAGGCCCCCCTTAAACCCTAGGAAGCCTATGCGTCCTTAAAGCCTATGAGGCCCCTGAAGTCCTACAGTAAACACCACAAAGTTGGAACATCCTTCTCCCCACACCCCAAAAGGTATGCTAAAGGGAATCCCCGCTCTAATCATTCTTCAGCCATGCTAAACCCTAAGCCCTGAGCCCTGAAACCCTCAATCCTAAAGCCCTAAACCCTAAACCCTAAAACCCTAAAACCCTAAATGCCTAAACCCTAAACCCTAAACCCTAAACCCTAAACCCTAAACCCTAAAGCCTAAACCCTAAACCCTAAACCCTAAACCCTAAACCCTAAAGCCTAAACCCTAAACCCTAAACCCTAAACCCTAAACCCTAAACCCTAAACCCTAAACCCTAAACCCTAAACCCTAAACCCCTAAACCCTAAAACCCTAAACCCTAAACCCCTAAACCCTAAACCCCTAAACCCCGCATCTCAGAACCCTAAGCCCTAAGCCTCTTCTCAGGAGCCCGTGGAGCAGGAAGTCGATGCGAAGCCGCTGACCGGGTGCCCGGCCCCAGCCGAAGCCCTGCGGTCCTAAACCCTAAACCCTAAACCCGAAACCCTAAACCCTAAACCCTAAACCCTAAACCCTAAACCCTAAACCCTAAACCCTAAACCCTAAACCCTTAACCCTTAACCCTTAATCCTTAACCCTTAACCCTTAACCCTTAACCCTAAACCCTAAACCCTAAACCCTAAACCCTAACCCTAAACCCTAAACTCTTAACCCTTAAACCCTAAACCCTAAACCCTAAACCCAAAACCAGAACCCTAAACCCTAAACCCTGAACCTTGAAACCCTGAACCCTGAACCCTGAACCCTGAACCCTGAACCTTAAACCTAAGCCCTGAACCCTAAACCTAAGCCCTAAACCCTAGGTGAGGGCGCTTGCTTTCTGTCACACGTTTACCCCAAGCCAAGGCCCCAGTCCTCTTTGCCAATTTTGCGCCGAAGCATCCGAGCTCTAGTGGGGCCCCTCAAACCCTTTGGAGGAGGGAAGGGGTTTAGGGTTTATGGTTCAGGGTAAAAGAGCTCTGGGGTCTAGGGTTTAGGGTTTGAGGTTTGGGGTTTAGGGTTCCTCGTGCACCCACTGAGAAAAGGAAAGGCTTCCTATTCTCGTCGGTGACTTTGGCACCTACGCCAAGTTCCTAAGCCCTACACCCTGAATCCCAAACCTTAATCCCTTCCCCCTTTTATTAAAGACCCCCCTAATACTAAAAACCCTTTCCGGAAAATCCTGACGAAACCAACCCCGCCTTTTAAACCCTATTCCGAATTAGGGGGGGTTCAGGGCACCCAAAACCCGCCAGCCAACCAACATCCTAAAGCTCAAAGCTCCCTCCCTCTCTCCCCAGCCTAGACCCTAAACCCTTTGGACCCCAAACATGGCATTTGGATAAAAACCTCCCCCTAATAATGAAAACGCATTTCGAATTTCCATTGGGGGAGGGGGGGGGACCCCGTTTAATATTAGGGGGAAGGGATTAGGGGTTTTCCCTAAACCCTCAACCCTAACCCCTGAACCCTGAACCCTAAACCCTAAACCGCTAAACCCTAAACCCGAAACCCTCAACCCTAAGCCCTAAACCCTAAATCCGAGCCCTCGACGTGGTCCAGGAAGCCCCTCAAGGAGAACATGACCTTCGAGCCGGCGGACTGTACGCCCTGGGCCTACTGCCCCAGGGATGGCAGGGTTTAGGGGTTTAGGGTTTGGGGTTTAGGGTTTGGGGTTTGGGGTTTGGGGTTTGGGGTTGAGGGTTCAGAGTTGAGGGTTGAGGGTTGAGGGTTGGGGGTTGGGGGTTGGGGGTTGGGGGTTGAAGAAATGACATGAAGGTTGAGGGTTGAGGGTTGAGGGTCAAGGGTCGAGGGTTGAGGGTTGAGGGTTTAGGTTGGAATGTTTAAGGGTCTATAATATCTTGGGTTTAGGGTTGGTGTTTAGGGCCTACAGGGTTAGGGTTTAGGGTTCAGGGTTGCTGAAACTGTCCTTGCAAAACAGGCTATGAACCCTAAACCCTAAACCCTAAACCCTAAACCCTAAACCCTAAACCCTAAACCCTAAACCCTAAACCCTAAACCCTAAACCCTAAACCCTAAACCCTCAACCCTAAACCCTAAACCCTAATGGTTTAGGGCTTATCTGGATGGGGTTTGGGATCTAGACCAGAATCATTCAAGCGGTGGCTGCAGCACGTAGCTCATGGACGCGATGAATAGCGCCCGGGTCTACTTTCGAACCCTGAAGCCCTCAAATCCTAAACCCTAGAAACCCAAGATCCCAAACCCAAAGCCCTATGAACCCTAAACCCCAAGATTCCTAACCCGAAACCCCAACCTAAACCCGACAGTCCGAAATATCCCAGCCCTCAGCCCCATAGTCTGGCTGGTGCTTAGTAGGGAATGAGGGAATTAGGGGCCCTATATTGTCCCTTAACGGGTATCTGTAGGCCCCCAAGTCCCTCATTCCCCTACCAAGCACCAGGGGGTTTAGGGTTTAGGGTTTAGATTTAGGGTTTAGGGTTTAGGGTTTAGGGTTTAGGGTTTAGGGTTTAGGGTTTAGGGTTTAGGGTTTAGGGTTCATCATCAGTGGGGCTCTTGCTGCCCTTATCCAGGCTCAACGTGATCCCTTCCCTCGGAGGAAAGGCCGGCTTTGACGGTCTTTTTATGAGGGGCCGGGTTTAGGGTTTAGGGTTTAGGGTTTAGGGTTCAGCGTTCAGGGTTTAGGGTTTAGGGTTTAGGGTTCAGCGTTCAGGGTTTAGGGCTTGGTGTCTTGTGTCTGCCGGCGAACTGGGGGTTTAAGAGTTTCGGGGTTTAGGGTTTTGGGGCCGGCGGCAAGGGTGTCGTAAAGCGTGAGTTTACGAGAGCCTTCGGTTGGTTAGTGGCCTGAACCACGGGCAAGCACGCCAGATCAAAGGGGGTTTTAGGCTTTAGGGGTCAGCGTGTAGCTGTGCCCGCCGTGCACCAGGCGTTTAAGGTTTGAGGCCCTAGTTCCCTCGACCCTGAGCCTGACACCCAGAAGCTCCCTAGGGTTTAGGGTTTAGGGTTTAGGGTTGAGGGTTGAGGGTTGAGGGTTTAGGGCCTAAAGTGTGAAGGGGTCCTGTCACCTCTCGGGATGCGCGAACGCCCGAACTCACCCAGCCCTGAAGAGCCCCCACACAAGGGGTCGCTGTCTAGGCTCTCAGGGACGAACTAAACCCCAAAAGGGTTTATGGTCCATGTATACCTTAATGATAGAGGTGATCACATTATAGGGTATATGCCCCATGTAGCCCCCAAAGCTCGAGGAGTCACGGGGGGTTACGAGGCCCGCAGGAAGCACCGAGAGGGTCATCGACTGTGAAGTCTGCAGCGTGGCGTGCTTGTCGGGCGTGCGCAGCTCGTGGTGCCGTGATCCTTGCGCTCCCTCCCAATGTCAGCATACCAAAGTGCAGGCAGTGTGGCAGTTTAGGGTTTAGCGACGACCCCTTGGGGCTCGGAAAATCGCATCTTTCAGCACAATGCGACGTGTTGGCATCGGTCAACACCTAAACCCGAAACCCGAAACCCTAAACCCTAAACCCTAAACCCTAAACCCTAAACCCTACACCCTAAACCCTAAACCCTGAACCCCCGTTCCAAAGTGTGCTTCCGGCTCGGTCCCGTGCTCTTGGGTTTAGGGTTTAGGGTTTAGGGTTTAGGTTTTAGGGTTTAGGGTTTATTTAGGCAGCAAGGACGCTTAGAGGGCTTCACTTGGTGCATCCGTTGAGAAGGGAATTGCATGGGTTTAGGGTTATATTCGAAATCGAGCTCCCACCTCCGTCCCGTTTGCATGCTCCTCGCACAGCGCGTGCGTGTTCTTGCTATCGGCCCCTTGGCAAATTGGGGTCTTGGACTGCCTCTTGGAATGGTTGTGGTGCCCTAGGCCCCTCAGCCCTAAACCCTGAAACCCTGCACCCAAAAACCCTCAAGCCGCAAATCCCCAACGCTCCCCCAACTGCGAGGTCCTCCTGCCCCTCAGTGAGGGAGGCCTTCAGTACCTCATGGCCGGTGCGCGGGCAAACGCCCGGTCTTCCCAGCTGGCGCTTGCGGTTTAGGGCTGTACGCTTTAGTGTTTAGGGTTTAGGGCTCAGGGTTTAGGATTTTGGTTTCAGAGATGGCCCTTCATTTTTTTGCGGCCAAACTCAGGCAAACCCTAAACCCTAAACACTAAGCACTAAACCCTAAACCCTACGCCAGACACCAGGCCTCTAAAGATGTTGTACAGGAACGTCTCATCGTCGTGAAGAGGCCAAGGGTTTAGGGGTTTTAGGGTTCATGAAGGCACAATGCCCAGGCGCAGTCATGTGTAATGGTATTTCCACTTGTGCCTGCCCTATTTATATCCATACCTTAGGGACCGGGTAGGTAACCTTTAACCTTTTGGTTATATAAAATACTACACTATGTCAAAGGTTCCCCTTTTTTGAAAATAGGGTATTCAGCCCCCAAGATACATAGAACTACACACGACCCTTCGAGTACTGAATGCTGGACTTGGGCTTCGGACCAGGTCAACCCTAATCCCGAAAAGTTCTATCAACTATACCCTCAACCCCAAAAGGCGCTTTAACCCAGAAGCACCCCCGACTCAACCAGAAAACTCTGTCAACTAAACCCTCAACCCCCAAAAGCGCTTCAAACCCGAAACCACTCCCAGCTTAACCCTAAACCCTAAACCCTAAACCCTCTTCCCTCCACTAAGATGGGAATGAAGAGCGGCTCGAGCCTTGGAAGAGTTGTGCGGAGCGTGGGGAGTCGATTCGGTTGGCGAGCTCGGGGCTTTCAAAGCTTTGAACCCTAAACCCTAAACCCTAAACCCCTAAACCCTAAACCCTAAACCCTAAACCCTAAACCCTAGACCCTGCACCTTAAGCCCAAACCCTTCTACAAGCTCATGGAGTCCTACCCTTTACCCATCCTATACATTGTTCTGTGATGCCCCTTTCTAGTACCCTAAACCCTAGACCCTAAAGCCTAGCCCGATGGCGGTCGTCTGGACTGATAGCCTTAGGGCTGGGGGGGGGGAGAGGGTTTAGGGTTCTGGGGTCTAGGGCTTGGGGTACGGGGTTCGGGTTTAGGGGACTTCAAGGGCAGGAGCAATCTCGGAGATCTCCAGATTCCTTCAGCTTTGTCTCCCTGCCTCCTGTACATCCTCAGCGAGTCAGGTCTGTAGGGTTTAGGGTTTAGGGTTTAGGGTTTAGGGTTTAGGATTTAGGGTTTCGGGTTTAGGGTTGAGGGTTGAGGGTTGAGGGTTTACCGCGTAACACGTAAACCCCCCAAACCTGAGCCCCTGAGAGTGCTCCCCAGGCCGGTATCTCTACGAAGTCAAGGTGGTCCGGGAGCTCAGATTCTCCTCCTCTCCCACCCCCCTCTTCCTCCCCGTCAGGAGGCGGGGTTGAGGGCTGAGGGGTGAAGGGGCGTAAGGTTGCTCAGGAGCATAACTACCCTAGTCTAGCTTCTGAACGACAAGCTCTGAACCCTCAGACACTTCTGAGCCATTTAGGCCCCCCTCGCGTTGGGAGCTGCTTTGCCAGACAAGGGCCCTGCACAAATCCGAGGTTCGGGGTTTCCTCCCAAGAACTTCAGCTAAAACCCTACGGAGCCTGGTTGGGGTCCATCCTTAAAATGTCTAGTGTTGGGCCAGTCTTCACTTTGTCATTGCGTTCGGTTCCCCCTATGAATACACCCCGTGAAAGGTCTCCTTCTCATTCCTTTCGGCTGCTCTCTGGGGGCTCTGGAAATCTAAGGCCCTGAGTCCCTACATCTCTACCCCAGAGCCCCTGAGTCGACGACCGGGTTTGGTTTCGTTTTCTTTTTTTGTTTTATTTGATTATTATTTTTTATTTTTCAAATTTATTTATTTATTTATTTATTATTATTATTATTTTTATTTTTTTAAAGGGGTTTTGTGTTGGATTTAAATCGAACATCCTACGCGCCCCAAACCCTCGAAACCCCCGTGGGCTTTGGGCCTTGGGAATCTGTGCAGGAGTGTACCTATACCTCTTCCTACCCTTAAGCGCCCTGAACTTGGGATGTTCCCCCTTATAGTAAAAGTCCGTAGGAATTAGGGACTATAGTAAGGACTGTTAGAATTATACAAGGGGCGGAACATCTAAACCCTAAAACCCTAAACCCCAAACCCTCAACCTTAAGTCCAACTGTAATGAAGAAGCTCAAACCACAGCAAGCGGACGCAGCTTTAATCTTCAAGCAGTCACAATGATTCCAAGCTTTCGTTCATGGAGCTCTACGGGGATAGACTGCCGAAATGGCTGCAAAGAATGACGAGAAATGACAAAGCACTACTGTACTGTGCAATGCCAAACCTGTCGAGCATGACGAAAATTTTTTAACCCTGAAGAGTCACTCGCTCTGCTGCCGAGATCGAGACGCTGAACCCGTCCGAGGGACCGCAGCGCAGCAGCCGAACTCCTCTGCCAGGTTCTCAGCTTCCATCTTGATGTACAGGTCTAGGGCCAAGGGCAACCCTCAACCGAACCCAGTAAACCCTAAGCCCTAAGCCCCAACACCAACGAGCGGCTCTATCGAGATGCGTGTGAGGTCAGTATTGCCAAAAGGACACCCCACACTCACGAAAGTGGAAAGCGAGTCCTAGACCCTCAAGCCTAAACCCTACGTAGGACATTGGCGTAAGTTATATCTCCCTTGTTGGGCCTAAGAGGATCTTGTCTAACAAAATTCAGACAGCTTCAGGCCCGAAACCCTGAATCCTAACACCTCCCAACGTCCACCCCAAGTATGTTGTACCAAGACACCCCCAAGACACCCCAGATGATGGTCTCGAACCCCCCCTCCCCCCCGCCTCCCAACACAAGCGACCTTGGGGCCATGAGTTGGAGAACTGCTTCGGGTAGGACGAGAATCTACTTATTATGTACGTTCAAGGGCTCAGGCCGTAGGTGCCGAGTCGTGAGAATCTAAGAAGCTACGGCTTATTCCCTTTATTTACGGTTAGAAAAGTTAAGGGCTATACACCTGCGGATCTTTTAGATAAGGAGCCTAGTTGCTTCCCCCAAAGCTGCAGGCCACGGCAGCTCCTCAGACTTGGGTTCTCCGCGCTGGACCTGTGGCTACTGATGAGGGTTTAGGGTTTAGGGTTTAGGGTTTAGGGTTTCGGGTTTAGGGTTTAGGGTTTAGGGTTTAGGGTTAGGGTTTAGGGTTTAGGGTTTAGGGTTCAGGGTTTAGGGTTTAGGGTTTACGGTGGGAGGGGGTGTTAGGGTGTAGGGTTCAGGATGGAGTAGCCGGCGGAGGGGGGAGAGGGAGGGAATGTGGGGCCTGTTATGATGAAGTTCCTTGCGGAATGGGTGCTTGTTTAGAGCTATATAGCTTTCAAAATGGAATTGTTTCAGAGGAAGGGTTTAGGCCGTTTAGGCATTTGGAACAGTAGGCCTTGGGGGCAGGTATCTTGCCCTTAGATCCTCCGAGTTCTGGTCCTTCATATTTAGGGTACCCGGAAAGGGGACCAATATGTTTTAAGGCTTAGGGTCTAGCGTTGAGGGGTCACGACCACTGCCTCAACCCTCAGCCCTTAGCCCCTAAACCCTAAGGTTTACCCGAAACCCTAAACCCTAAACCCTAAACCCTAAGGTTTACCCTAAACCCTAAACCCTAAACCCTAAACCCTAAACCCAAAACCCAAAACCCTAAACCCTAAACCCCCCTAAACCCCCCTAAACCCTAAACCCGAAACCCGAAACCCTAACCCTAAACCCTAAACCTAAACCCTAAACCCTAAATCCTGGCCTCAAGGACTCGCCCCTCCACCTCGGCGAGAATGACGCCAGCGTCAGCTTCGACTCGGAAGGCTGCAAGCGCTCAGCAACAAGAGGGCGCCTTTTACCCGCCTCCGTGTGGGGTTTAGGGTTTAGGGTTCAGGGTTCAGGGTTCAGGGGAGAAGCAACCCCAAACTCGGAACCCTGAACGTTGAAACCTTTACACCCTGTACCCTAAGACCTCAACCTGAAATCCTGAAGGCCTCAATCCTGAGCCCTACACCCTCTTGGGCCCCCCCTTCCCCCCAAAAAAACAACATATGTATGTATACATATCTATATGTATATATATGTATATTGTATACACACATATATATATATATAAATGCAACAGAGAAGCAAGACGTCAGAACAACTCGGAGGTTCAACTGGACTTGGCACTTATCATTCCAAGAACCTTACACGAACACCCAAAGCTGTGGACCAAAACCCTTCTCACCCCCAAGTCGCCCCAAGCACCCCCCCCCCCCCCCCGTGGGTGGCTTAAATAGGGTTTATTTGGAAGCTGAGAGTCGTGTTTTTGTGTGGTAGATACAAAGGAAAGGGCATAAGAAAGTAGCGAAAGGAGCTCCTCAATTCCCTTCCTTATCTCCTATCCTTTTTTCTTTATTCATTGCAACAGGAGAATACAGGAAAAGGGCCTCCATTCCCCTCTTGTTCTTCCTTTCTTGTGTTTTTGTCATTTAAAGGGGAACAGGAGAAGAGAAGGGAAAGAGAAGGAGAGAGGAGAGATAAAAGGAACACAATTTTAATGGGAAGAGCCAAGAAAAGAATAGAAGAGAGATGAACAAAGAAGATGGAGAGACAAAACAAGGCGCAAAGAAGATGGCACTCTTCTTTATCTATCCTCTCTCCCTTCTCTCTCCCTTCCCTCTTTCTTTTCGAAACAGAAAAACTAAAAAGGAAGAACTTGAAAAGGAGAAGGGTAATGAAAAGAGCAGAAGAGACAGGCCGAAAAGAGGGATATGATGAAGTATGGGCAAGGTCCACGCGCAAGGAGTCACCCTCTGCTTACCCTTCCACTGCTTTATCATACAAGTTCCTTTCTTGTGTTTTATTAGTTAAAAGGTAACAGAAGGAGAGAAGGGCAAGGGAAGTGAGAGAGGAGAGACAACAAGGAGGCCATTTGAATTTTCTGGAGGGGTACTGAAAAGAAGAGAAGACACAAGAAACAAGGAGACGGATAGCACTCTTCTTTATCTATCATCTCTCCCTTCCTTGTCTCTCGCTTTTCCCTCTATAATTAAAACAAATAGGTGCCCTCTCCTCTTCAGGAAGCCCCCTTGCCCTTATTTTGCTAGCTTTCTGAAACAACAAGGGAAACAACACATAGAAAGAGAGGAAAGGGAATGAAACAATAGGCAGTGGAGCTCTTCAGTGTCTTTACCTATCTCTTTTCTTCTTTTTCTTTTTCATTCAATAAGGAAAAGAAGCTTCCTTTGGTGTGATTTTGAGATTTAAAAGAGAACAAGAGAAGAGAAGGGAGAGAGAAAGGAGAGAGGAGAGATCAAAAGGAAGCAATTTTCATGGGAAGAGCAATGAAAATCATGGAAGAGAAATGAAGACAGGAGAGGGAGGTGCAAAATCAGGCAAAGAGAAGATGGTGCTCGTTTTCTTCTTTCCTCTCTTTCTTATCTTTCCCTTTCAAATAAAAACAAAAGGAAGAACAATGAACATGTAAAGGAACCCGTTTTCTTTTTCCGTTTGGGAACAAGGAAAAGAACAGAGGCGATAGGGCGAGAGGAGGGATTTGCTGCAGCATGGGGAGGGTCTACGGACAAGGAGCCAACCCCGCTCGCTTTCCCCATCCATTGGAAAAGAAAGGAACATGGCCTCCATTCCCCTCTTGTTCTTCCTTTCTTGCGCTTTTGTCATTTAAAGGGGAACAGGAGAAGAGAAGGGAGAGAGAAGGAGAGAGGAGAGACAAAAGGATTGCATTGTTAATGGGAAGAGCAAAGAAAAGAATAGAAGAGAGATGAATAGAGAAGTGGGAGAGACAAAACAAGGCGCAGAGAAGATGGCACTCTTCTTTATCTATCCTCTCTCCCTTCTCTCTCCCTTCCCTCTTTCTTTTCGAAATAAGAAAACAAAAAGGAAGAACTATGAGAAGGAGAAGGGTAAGGAAAGGAACAGAAGAGATAGGCCGAGAGGAGGGGTATGATGAAGTATGGACCGGTCCACGCGCCAGGAGTCACCCTCTGCTTACCCTTCCACTGCCTTATCACACAAGTTCCTTTCTTGTGGTTTATCAGTCAAAAGGAAACAGAAGGAGAGAAGGGAAAGAGAAGTGAGACGAGATAACAAGGATGCCATTTTGCTGGAAGCGCAACTGTATGTGGCCACAACAAGCAGGCCAGGGAGGCTCAGGCGGGGCAAGTCTCTCCCTAATTAGAAAAAATCAATCTTGCTATTCACAGGTAGGCGCCCTTCTTCCTCTTCAGGAAATCGCCTTTCCCTTATTTTGCTTTTTGAAGCGAATAAGACAAACAACAGATAAGAAGAGAGGACAGGGAATGACTAGGTAAAGAGAGGAGCTCTTCAATTTCCTCCCTATCTCTTAAGTTACTTTTCCTTCTTGGGCGGGTGTCCTTTTTTCTTCCTTGAAGATGCAGAAAACTAGCAAAAAGGACACCCGATCGCCCATTTTCTTTTCAATTCCCTTCCTTATCTCCTATGCTCTTTTCCTTATTCATTGCAACAGGAGAATACAGGAAAAGGGCCTCCATTCCCCTCTTCTTCCTTTCTTGTGTTTTTGTCATTTAAAGGGGAACAGGAGAAGACAAGGGAAAGAGAAGGAGAGAGGAGAGATAAAAGGAACACAATTCTAATGGGAAGAGCCAAGAAAAGAATAGAAGAGAGATGAACAAAGAAGATGGAGAGACAAAACAAGGCGCAAAGAAGATGGCACTCTTCTTTATCTATCCTCTCGCCCTTCTCTCTCCCTTCCCTCTTTCTTTTCGAAACAGAAAAACTAAATTGGAAGAACTTGAAAAGGAGAAGGGTAAGGAAAAGAGCAGAAGAGACAGGCCGAAAAGAGGAATATGATGAACTGAAAAGAAGAGAAGACACAAGAAACAAGGAGACGGATAGCACTCTTCTTTATCTATCATCTCTCCCTTCCTTGTCTCTCGCTTTCCCCTCTATAATTAAAAAAATAGGTGCCCTCTCTCCTCTTCAGGAAGCCCCCTTGCTCTTATTTTGCTAGCTTTCTGAAACGACAAGGAAACAACACATAGAAAGAGAGGAAAGGGAATGAAACAATAGGCAGTGGAGCTCTTCAGTGTCTTTACCTATCTCTTTTCTTCTTTTTCTTTTTCATTCAATAAGGAAAAGAAGCTTCCTTTGGTGTGATTTTGAGATTCAAAAGAGAACAAGAGAAGAGAAGGGAGAGAGAAAGGGGAGAGGAGAGATCAAAAGGAAGCAATTTTCATGGGAAGAGCAATGAAAATCATGGAAGAGAAATGAAGACAGGAGAGGGAGGTGCAAAATCAGGCAAAGAGAAGATGGTGCTCGTTTTCTTCTTTCCTCTCTTTCTTATCTTTCCCTTTCAAATAAAAACAAAAGGAAGAACAATGAACATGTAAAGGAACCCGTTTTCTTTTTCCGTTTGGGAACAAGGAAAAGAACAGAGGCGATAGGGCGAGAGGAGGGATTTGCTGCAGCATGGGGAGGGTCTACGGACAAGGAGCCAACCCCGCTCGCTTTCCCCATCCATTGGAAAAGAAAGGAGCATGGCCTCCATTCCCCTCTTGTTCTTCCTTTCTTGCGCTTTTGTCATTTAAAGGGGAACAGGAGAAGAGAAGGGAGAGAGAAGGAGAGAGGAGAGACAAAAGGATTGCATTGTTAATGGGAAGAGCAAAGAAAAGAATAGAAGAGAGATGAATAGAGAAGTGGGAGAGACAAAACAAGGCGCAGAGAAGATGGCACTCTTCTTTATCTATCCTCTCTCCCTTCTCTCTCCCTTCCCTCTTTCTTTTCGAAATAAGAAAACAAAAAGGAAGAACTATGAGAAGGAGAAGGGTAAGGAAAGGAACAGAAGAGATAGGCCGAGAGGAGGGGTATGATGAAGTATGGACCGGTCCACGCGCCAGGAGTCACCCTCTGCTTACCCTTCCACTGCCTTATCACACAAGTTCCTTTCTTGTGGTTTATCAGTCAAAAGGAAACAGAAGGAGAGAAGGGAAAGAGAAGTGAGACGAGATAACAAGGATGCCATTTTGCTGGAAGCGCAACTGTATGTGGCCACAACAAGCAGGCCAGGGAGGCTCAGGCGGGGCAAGTCTCTCCCTAATTAGAAAAAATCAATCTTGCTATTCACAGGTAGGCGCCCTTCTTCCTCTTCAGGAAATCGCCTTTCCCTTATTTTGCTTTTTGAAGCGAATAAGACAAACAACAGATAAGAAGAGAGGACAGGGAATGACTAGGTAAAGAGAGGAGCTCTTCAATTTCCTCCCTATCTCTTAAGTTACTTTTCCTTCTTGGGCGGGTGTCCTTTTTTCTTCCTTGAAGATGCAGAAAACTAGCAAAAAGGACACCCGATCGCCCATTTTCTTTTCAATTCCCTTCCTTATCTCCTATGCTCTTTTCCTTATTCATTGCAACAGGAGAATACCGGAAAAGGGCCTCCATTCCCCTCTTCTTCCTTTCTTGTGTTTTTGTCATTTAAAGGGGAACAGGAGAAGACAAGGGAAAGAGAAGGAGAGAGGAGAGATAAAAGGAACACAATTCTAATGGGAAGAGCCAAGAAAAGAATAGAAGAGAGATGAACAAAGAAGATGGAGAGACAAAACAAGGCGCAAAGAAGATGGCACTCTTCTTTATCTATCCTCTCGCCCTTCTCTCTCCCTTCCCTCTTTCTTTTCGAAACAGAAAAACTAAATTGGAAGAACTTGAAAAGGAGAAGGGTAAGGAAAAGAGCAGAAGAGACAGGCCGAAAAGAGGAATATGATGAACTGAAAAGAAGAGAAGACACAAGAAACAAGGAGACGGATAGCACTCTTCTTTATCTATCATCTCTCCCTTCCTTGTCTCT